CTTTCCCCCCCCTCCCCTCCCCCCTTTCTTTTATCCGTTGGTACCTCTCTGTCCTCACTCCATAGGAAACGTAAAGCTGCCACTAGCAAGTGGCCACTTTGTGTACAGCAGCAAATTCATGATGATGGAGGTGACGGAATTTTTGCTTTTATATAACGTAATGTAATGCTTGCATTATTTTTGTTCATTTTGCTTCTGTTATTGGGGCAATTATGGACAAATGGGATAGCCTGGATGTTCTCGTTAAAAATGAATTTCTCTTCACAGGTCTTGTGTTTGTCAGTGGCGATTGGGCACGTGGAAATGACACCGGAGGAGTTGGTTTCGAATATAGCACTTTCGGTCAATTTCCTTGTATCTCTGCTGAAGAAGAATTGGCAGAATGTAAGATCGTTGCACATAAAGAGTACTATGGGACCACCGCAGCGTCTCTACTGATTCCGTTAAATTTTGTTGCTACAACGTTTGTTGTGTTATCATCTGTTTCAATAAATATTTAGCAACGTTTTGTTTTGTAGAGGCCATCGTGATCACTCCCTCATACACTCTTCTCTGCACAAGAGCCGGGATTTTATGAGCTGCACCAGTCAGTCCAAATTTTCAATTATTTATTGCCCAGTTGAACTGGGATCGTCGCCTTGCAGTTGTCAGACACGTTCTTTGCTTTCACATTGTAAAATGTCATCCTAAAAATTCATGAGTTAGCGCTCTTCCTTTTTTTTTCACCAGGGGATGCCTTTTTTTTTCGTGATAAAAAAAGGGAGAAGAAAATATGAATCATATGACGGGGAAGTTAGTTGGTAAATAAATAATTCTGTTTAAAAGTGGATAAAATCGGCTCTATCAGTACGGTACGCATAAGCAAATGAATGTGGAAATGTTAATTTCTTGCTAAATTACCACCAGAATTGGAGTACGCGTCCTCTCTTGTCAAGAGTTGTTTACCCCTCTTGCTTCTCGATAAAAGAATCCACTACGGAATGAATAATAATTCCAGTGCGACTAAAACTGTTAATAAACTGTGGAAATATGGATTTCTTGTACCCGCTGTGGAGTGGTGAAATGCTCCCACGAAAAAAAAAATTTCGCTTGCGCGGGTGGCAATTCATCCACAATGTTAACCAGAGCAGAGGTTCTCCAGTGGACTCACCCAACTGTATGTGCAGGAGGGGAGGGGGAATCCCGCCCATAACTCAATTGCGTCGTCACTTCTGGATTTTTCTGTTCCACACTGCAATGGTCCCCGAATATCTGACTCAGTTCTTATACAAACATTTGATTCAGTTCTAATTGAAAGACTGTTCCTCGAACTGTGTTTATACAAAATGCGAATGTCAGTGAAATCGGATCAGCATCCGAAAATTTCACTCGTTTGGTAGCAGGAATAGTAAAATGGAGCGTTCTGTGCGACCAGTTAAAACGAATTTGCCTGAGGAATCCCGGTTACAAAAAGCTTAAGCAGTGCAAGATTCCCACTCTCCACACCTCTCTTAATCGGCATACGAGTTGTAGTGGCCTCAGATCACAATAAAATTTAAGAGCCGGTCCTTGGCTTGTCAGCCTACATTGTTTGGCGAATTAAAATCCCGAAACCCGAGATGTGTAGCTTTTCCCATTCTCGAGCCATGGCTGTAACCTGAATCGGGCATTTGAGCCATTGGCATAGTGCAGAGGGAAGAGGGAAGTGGGTCTTAGGTTTGTTGCCCTCTTCGTGCTTGAGGACTGCGTCCTGAAATTTTCAGCCCTCGCCCTCTGGAGTTGAATTATATATACATTATCGCGTTGTATTTTTTTTTTTCCTCGATTGTTGTGGAAACGCATGAAAAATGGCGTTTTCTTATTGGAATAATAAATAACCGCTGCCTGCTGCTGTTGTAGAGGAGCTCGTAAATCAGATATCACAATTCTCTGCATATTGCTGCTGGCTGTCATATTCTGGTAAAATTTGTCAGTGCTGAATTTCTGGATAAAATCCCCTGTCAGTATCCTCACTTTTTTTGTAACGACTTAGCTGGCCAAATCTCTGACAGTGAAGAAAATCGCTGCTTATTTAAACAACGGCATGGAATTTCAGAAGGTAAACCCCGTGGCAAGAAATGTTGCTTCAGTACTAAAGGTCGAGGCCTCGATTCCACCGATAAACAACCGTCTACCTTATGACCCGTTTATGCGTTCCGATGTGGTAAAGCGGTACATGCTAAGGAGTCAAAATCGGCATCAGCTTGCTTCTCGGGACAGAGAGCCATTGACATCCTTGCCAGCTGATGCTTACTGATAACACTTGCCATCACTCATGCTACTCCCCGAATACATCCGCCTATTTACAGAGGCTGCAGTAGTCCTACTGACAAAATCCTACTGAGGTATTGCAACAGCTTCGACTCCTCAAACGTCCTTTGGACTCCCCTTGAATTCGTTAGTAGTCTCAGCCCTCAGTACTTCATCATAAAACTCTATTCGCAGCGGATCTATCAAATACGCCCTCCAAATATTATTACGTATGATTCTTCCTCACTGAACTTTCTTGTTTTGCAGGTCAGATTTTTGGATGTGAGCAATTCTCTACGGCATTCTCAGGTGCATTTCACCGAAGCTTTACCTCCTCATGTAACATTAAACCAGTGGTAATAGCTTTCCGGCTGAAGCCCCTCTCCCTTGCAAACTGTTTCAGCAAGCGTTATTTTCTAAATCAGGAGGACGCAGTGCTATAAATCGAATGGATTTTTTCACTCGCTCTGCTAATTCCGTCCAATTCAATTGCTTTACTTTCGAAATGGTCGGTTTTGCGCATATTCTCACGGAGAAAAATTGTTCCCGCTTAATTTATTTATGCAGTGGAAAAAGTTCTTTGCTTCACTCTTCAGTCTGAATAGGCACAAAACTGAATCCTTCTAAAATAGTAGTAGTAGTAGCAACAACAGCATCGGCAACTCCGGCAATCGCCAAAATCAGTTGACCAGGCAACGGCCAGCAATTTGTTTACTAGCAAAAACATTCATAAAAAAAGTGGCAGTTTTATCTTTCACCTAGTGCCAGTCGAACTGAACAAAAAGCCTTGCCCCATTTCGTCCTTTCATCGGCGCCTCGTTGCTTCAAATTACGAGTCGTAACGGCTGCTATGATGTGACCATTAAATCATCCGGTTGTGTGATTAACTCCTGGACGATTTACAAGGAAAGCTAGACAGGTTGGGAATGACAACTGAAATTGATGATCGGCTGCCAGTTGGGAATACAATACGAAAGGAATGACGAAAGGCCCGATCAGGGATACCAGAGCGGCCTGGTTAGATCGAGGACGAAAAATCGGCTTGTTCACGATAGCTAATCACTGGCCAATTGGAGTGCCACGCAGCATGTTTGTTTCTCAATAATGTTCGATCAGCCATTCCCAAGACAAAGCTAGCAGATGTAACCTGGGAAGCAACTTCGTGCTCTTTTGCGCTTTCGTAGACGTGAAAGCACATTTTGACGAACCCGTGCGTACATGTGTGTTTGTAATAATTATAGGCATGAAATATAAAAAAAAAAAGCTTACTGGACGAAACAGGGATGTATGTAGATGTGGATCGCGTCTCTCAGCACCGTGACAGAGATGCGAGAGAGCTCATATTTCATGTATTTTGCCCTGGGCTTTATTACAGATGTAATTTTTTTTTCGGCTTTCTATCTTCGCCGTCTCGCGCTTTATGTGCTCAGGTAACTGGGAATCGGATTTATGCGCTTACTGTACAGGCGAATCTTTCATGCTTCACGCAGCGTTTCATTTGTGTTTGAAAGTTGTGACTGGCTGAGCGAAGCAGCTGAAATATTAATTCGCATAGTGAACATTCGCATGAGGACTTTGTGAGGCCGATGAGGGAAGAGGCACGGTTTTTGAAAACCATTTATTTCTGTTGAGCAAGTGAGAAAACGATTCGGAATTTCTGTTTGATTAGAACTATCAGTTCTAATCCCCAGAGGGTGCAGATGAAGGGGTCAGTGACTAGTGTCCCAAAGAACAATTAGAATGCTTTTGAGCTAAGTACATATTAGCAACAAATATCTGGAAAAAGTACGCAAAAACGCGTTTTGGTGCTGTTCAGTGGCGAGTGTTACTGTTTCGGATCGCTTTTGACCTTATTTAGCGCTACAAGCACTAGTAAACAAAGCAACGGCATCCCTCATACAACTTCACACTTTTACCCGCATGCACTGCTCGGTCTGTGTTTACAACTAAGGGATGAAACACAGACTAACTACATCGTAGAATGTCCTCCGTCACATGACACTTAAGACCAATCCTTTTGTTCTGCTGTTTCACTCCCCAAGTTATATTATTTGAAATATTTAGCGTAACGCAACTGTTTACTACAAGCTTGCTCCGTGTACTAGAGACCAAGCGTGATGTGCAACTTTATGACCCGTAATGCCTTGCTTCTTACTTGATTTCCCGACGGGGAGGCACGTCCGAATCGGTGCTTCAAGAAAATCCACTGAAAACGCTGTTTCGAGTAATTTAGTTAAATGCTTTTCTGCAACGCATTTGTTGATTGGAGTGAAAGCAAACAGCTGTGCAAAGTGGAGGACCGGCTTGGATAATATGTGTTATAAGCTGGTGCGAACATGCACTGACCGATAAATGGAGAAGCTTGTCCTGATGAATTTCTTAATCGAATTTGCACATTGCCGTTCAAAGTCGTAATGTCAGCCCCTGTGACAGATCCCTCTTTTCTCCAGGAGAAAACGTGGAGTTATTATTTATTACGACTTCTTCAGTCTCTCGTTAGAGAATGTTGTTATGCTGAATGACGTTAATGTGACTTTCAAAAAAACTGTTCAGCAAATATTTTGAAAATCAGTCTTCCGAAAATTTCTGCGCACAGCGTTAGCTGAATGGGGAATTAAAAAATATAAATATATGTGAAGCTATGGAAATGCCGGCCGTATAAAGGGCATGTATAATTTTAAATGCAGAGCTTTTTCCGAGACCTATAATAAAAGGATAGTACTGCGGGCATTTTCTGAATAATTTAAGTGCACTGCACAATGATCCTGACGTGTGAAAATGCATTTTCTATTACTTACTGTAAGCTTCATCCCAATTTTTTATTTCTTTTTATCCCATTCCATCTCTTTTATGTAGTATATTTTTACAATGCAAATAAAAACCCTGTAATTCAATTGCTCACGTAAGCGATACAAAAATTTCTGTGCGATCAAAAATCGCCTTACATGACTGCAGCAGAATTTTGAAAAAAGTTTCATTTTGAACCGTTATCTCCAATTTCGACATCTTGGGCCGATACGTATCTTTGCTTCTTTGTCAGCTACCCACCTATAATCTTTCATAAAATTTTTATGCCTGCAGCGAATGGGGGCGCACAAATGTGCATATAAGTGACACTGTCGACTTGACGAATGTGAACAGTTGCGCCTGAATTAGAGGTGTGAGTGTGCAAGATAATCTCTGACCCGAGAATGGTACGATGGAGGTTCCTGCATGGATGGATTTTTATAAA